ATGATCTAACTACATTTCGAGAAAAAAGAAGATGAAAATCTGATATATGACTTAAAAAGTTCATATAGCATTGAGGTTCTTCGCAATTGTTCAAAAAGTCAAGCATGATCTCTTTGAGAGTATTCACTAACGAGCTCAATCCTTTAAAAAATAGGTGAAAAATAGGTGAAAAATAGGTGAAAACGATGCAACTAGTAAAAAATGGAGCAACTTGTAGAAAATAAAAACTGTTTCCTAGTTAATTTTAACCCAAGCCCAAGACTTGGGTCCTGTTCGTTTTATGCAGGAAGACATATGGACTATTCATTGATAAAAAAATTATTCATTGAAAAAACTTCGAAAATCACAATTTTATAGGTTGAATCATTCTTGTATAACTATAGCCAATTGGTATAATGGTTCATTCAATTTGATCGTTCTTCAATTAGTGATAGAGGAGAACGGGGCTAGATGCATATGAATAACATGACCTAGAGCCATATAACCCCGGTCTCGCCTACACCCTTTCCATCGTTCGGTATCGTGCCGACGTGAAACGTTCGAATTAATCGTACCGATGCTCTTCGCCTTTTTTCCGCGCGACGGAGCGGCTGCACTCCGTCGACTAATCGGCAACTCACTCCGCAATTACGTCGATTTGTTTAGCGTGATCTCCTGGACGTCGGGGTGCACCGAGTGACAGATTAACGAGACGCTGTGTTGAGATCGCGTCGCGTGGGACGACGCGTGCACCACAGCTAGCTCTGCGTCGCGATGTAATCCCGCTCGCTCCCTAACAGGCGCGTTATACGGGAATGCGAATGTGATTTACGAGCGATGCATTGTAAGAATCGCTCTCCGCCGAGAAGTGATCTTATAAATAACGAGCGAGCGCGTGTGATTCAGCGCGACTACCTGCGGTCAGCGATCCCGTGCGTCGAGGGCGCAGCGTAAATTATTATAAATCGATCCTTGGCCTCGATCCGCGAAGGAACGTCCGATCGCGATTCCGCTGAAAGGCCCGCGGATCGCGCCGCGAGAACGTTATCCCCGCGACGTCGCGCACGGAGTCATCGAATCGACGATCCTCCGATCGCTCGGTGGATGATTAATGGATCCATAAGATGCGATCCGGGATGGATCGTTCGCTTCTTCTATTACCTCTTAGCCTCTCCTTTCTTTCTTTTGCAATCACGAGAAGATTAGGAAATCAAATCGAGCGTATCAGCCGCGCCTCGGGACGCGCGAGATGAAGAGGAACGTCTTGGGGAGGGACGAGGCTCCCTTGTCTGTTTATGGCCGGCGGTAATTCGTTCGCGTCCGAGCCTCCTGAAATTTTCAACCATCGCTGACTCCAAAAACGATCGAGCTCTCGCCCCGCTGCGCTTCGCCGCTCCGAAGCGAGGCGTCATTTTTCTTCGTTTGAAGAATCCGCCGTTTCCGGGTGAAAGATTATACGCAGCCGCGCCCTTAATGCAGAAAAATCATCGTCGAACATGTCGCGGCCCTGTCGGCGGTGAGTCCCGAGACAACGGGGATCGATGGCCGCCTTCGCTCCGGCGAAGTAACGCGATTTCGGACCACCACTACCACCACCGCCGCCGCCGCCGCCGCCGCCGCCGTCGCCGGCAGCCACCCCTTCGATTATCATCCGTCAGTGTCGGCCGCGCGCGATAATAATTATAAACAAAAGGATCGCCGGGCCCGCCGCGGGCCAAGAATCGTTCTGTCGCGGGGCAGAGAGGAGGGGTGAGTTCTTGGAAAGCGCCGTTTATAAATCACGATTCGCGCGGGCAACCCCTAATCATCTACCACCCCCGGCGCGCACCCTTCCATTCGACGAGCTTCGTGCCTCGCGCCTCGATCGTCCTCCTTTCGCATTTTCCCCCCTCGTCCCGTCTCGTCGTGTTCTCCCTCCGTATTTTGGTTCCGCACGCAAAACCACCATCACTCCGCCATTCATCATCCACCGGCCGCGCAACCTTCTCTCCGTTTCCGCTTTTCCCACCCCCTCCCCACCGGATGCCGCCGGTCGTCCTGTAGGCCTCACCTCGTATCCTCCTTCCACGGCTTCTATGATGAAACTCGCCATGCGAATCGCACGGCAATTAACGCGTACCCAGAGGCTCGGGGTACACCGCGAGAAGAAGGGTTGTGTGGTGTGGTCGATGATCGGGCCTGCCGCGGCCTTGGGTATTGAGACTCCTGGCTACCCGCCGCGGAGCTCTTGATTAATGACGTCAGGAGAGAGGAATTGCATGCCCAAAATTCCCACAGAGCACATTGAAATAAAAAGACATCCAAAATATGACAATAGATTAAGTATATATCTTTAAAATTTTACGAACACCCCTTCCTTTCGCTCTGACAGTCAATAAACAATTGTAAAATTAACGTAACGCAACCCCTTTTTTAACCTACATTTTCTTATTATTTTGTCGCGCTAATTTCATTTGTCAATTGTTAGAGCAAAAGGAAAGTGTTTGGAATATTTTACAGATGTGTGCCTAAAAAGATCACAAATGTCATTTTTAGGATTATATATTTTTATATCGACATATTTTGTAGGAATTTTGGGGGCACGTGTACTCCCTCGCTTTTCTGATGTCATAAATCAAGATGGCCGGCGAATAGCCAGAAGCCTTCGCGACGAGCTCCGGGTGAGAGGAGTCCCGACGTAGGGATGATTGATAGAAATCGGCTTGCGAAATATGGTCTCGAGCGGGGTAGAGGAATAGAGGAGGGAAACAAATAACGGCTTCTCGCAGCGAAGAAGAGTGCGCAAGGTGAGCTGTCCCGCGCTCGCTTTCTATTTATTTTAATTATTTACTTCTTCAAGTCAGAGAGAATTGTCGCGCTGATCACTTGGTCCACCGATCAATAATAGTCTAGATCTAAAAATTGGTCCGTCTAAAAATGCCCACGAGCTCTTTGAATTCCGAAGCTACGTGGAGAATCGAACGAGGAAGAGGGAGAAAGAGAGAGAAAGAACTTTTAGATATCATCGGCGAAGAAACATCGACTTTCTGTTCGAATATTTGGTTGAATAAAGATTAAGATTTCTGCTTCAATCTATTTTTCACACATACACGTTTAAACGTTTATCTGTTTAGTAATGCTTGATGGACATAATTTCGATATAACTAAACATTTAAACCGTTTAAACATATAATATGGAAGTAGGTGTTTTCTCAATTCTTCAACCGAGTCAATGACAATAATTAAAAATGACATCTGAGAAACGAGGAGGGCGATGAATCGGTGGCAAATCACGAGGCGCGTATTTCCAAAACCGACGTCGTTACTGATAGTCCTCTCTCTCCTTTGTTCACGAAACTTATTGGCCGGAATATAACAAAAATGTGAAGAGAGCAACTATTCTATTGCGATATGCGATTGATGAAGCGGTCTCCAACGATATCTTCATTTCACGAATACGAAATTTATATCGTAGCGCGAATCGTTCCTAAATCATACCCTAGTGTTTGATCTTCTGGATTCGAGGAAACTAACGATCGAGATCGAGAATGGGCGTCTCCACCTCACTCGCTGTCAAGCGTCTTCCTTTCGGCCGCTAATCTATTTGTTTCTCATTAACGGACCTACATTAATCTTCGACCCGCTCGTGGAACCACCACGAGCGAATGTAAGAGCGCGAATGGAACTCGTTATCGCGTGAGGGTCATCCTCGATCATCAGAGGATTTTTTGGGTGTCTGTACTTTCTCTTTCTCTCCCTCTCTCTCTCTCTCTCTCTCTCTCTCTCTCTCTCTCTCTTTCTCCTTCTCTTTTTCGTTGTTTGGGCTCGATTGAGGAACATCCGACTATGTACTCACACTTTCAGCTCACTTTTTATGGTAAAAAATACTATAGAATTTTGATCGAAGAATAGATCGATATTCTACAATAATTTATTAACCTTTTATTTCATATATGCTCGAACAGAGAGAGAAAGAGAGAGAATGAAACAGAAGGACAGAAAACGAGAAAGAAAAAGAGAGAGAGACTTATTCTAGAGTATAATAAAACGATTTTTGATTCTAATTATATCTATTTGAAGAACTGAAATGTATTAAAAATTCTGCTATGTTCCTATATTGTGAAAAAGATTTTAAAATATGTTTATGTGGAATATAAAGTTTAATTTCTGTGAAACTCACAGTGAAATGTGTGTGAAATAAACTTTATATCCCACAAATAAATGTTCAACTAGTTTTTCTCTATGTAATGAAATTTACTTCTTAGCGAGATAGATTTTTCTGACAGTCTCTATTCTTGCATTACTGGAGACATGGTAAAACTGAGAGAAATTTATACGAAAAACAAGAAAACTAGTATTAGTATAGTATAGTAATATAGTATTCCCTCCGTGTATGTAACACGAGATTGATTACTGAAAATAGTAATAGGGGATGTGAGATAAATTATGAAATATTTTAAACTTTTGTTTTTAAGAATTAAAATGCATCTTTAAAAAAATGTTCTCGAAATTCGAATATTTCGAGCGGAATATCTTTTATTTACACACGTGTTCAAAATTTGTCATTGGACGCGCGACTTATCGGAGAAATCAAATTGATCGTATTTATCAGAGAAATTAAATCGATCGAACCAAAAGAGCACCAAAAGAGCGTTGAGATATCGTTTTACGTCACTGGAAGAAATCGAAACAAATGGAAATGACGACACGTGTTGTAGGAGATCTTCTCCCATGGTAACGAGCGTTTCACAGGCGCCGTCGCGACGCCTGTTTCCGCAAAAAGAAAAGACACCCGACTGGAGATTATTCTTACGCAATAGGACGAGTTTCTCCCCCGCTTCAACTCTCGGCATAACGCTCTAATCCGACTGACATTTCGAAATGTCCGCGGGTTGCTAAATAGTTTGCACGTGGCTAATGCGGATACGGGGACACGGTCGCGGAGATTTACCGTAACGTCGTGGAGGAGTTACGTGAACGCGCGAAATCAAGCGAGAAATTGATCGCGGCCGATCGTCGATCGGAAAGTGCGGATTACTTACAGCCATTTTATGCATCTGCCACCTTGAACCAGCAACACGAGCAGCAGCAGCCAGACCTTGGCACCGCTTCGCTTCTTTATCCGCATCATTTTCCGTTTCGCATTCTAGGGGGTTAACATCGTCGCTCTTGTTCACGGGGAAGTAGCCACGAAGAGACGATTTTCTGTCAGCAAAAGCTCTCCTTCAGAGACCGCCGGCCGTCCGTCGATGCTGCACGAAAATTCGGGACCTCTTCGTCGCGTTCATCGTTCTACCTTGAGAGTCGCTGAGTTTTCCTCTCGTTCATGAAGAAAGCGAAGCTTTCGGACAAGCTACAATATTTTTATCCTTACGCGTATCTATCTTTAATATCTTTTAATGTCTTTTAATATCTTTATCCCGACGTGTGAAGAGCGTCTCTGTTTGTCCTCTATGCGACGTCCTAGGCGTGCACAACGATTGGTATCGTTACGTATATTTTAACGCTATGTTCAATCATCGATTGAGTCTGCTTTACTAGGATATTCTCGTGAATTGTCACTTTCGCGCGATCGGAACGAATCAATAAAGAGACGCGAATCAGTTTTTCAGATAATGCGCCGCATCACAGAGGTGTCTCGCGTGATTCTCTCGCCGGAAACTGAATCCCCCTATCGACATGGCTTTCTCATTAGACTGCGAATCGAATTACTAACGATTGAAAGCGTAAAATGCACGAAGCCCGCCAATCTGTCGAAGCGCACCCTGACTTGGCGAACGTCAAGGAGAAGCCCCCCGAGCTCACGCGCGATCGCGCGAATTTAAATTACCGCGACGCGTGCATTGACGATCGAGGCCGCAAACGAGATCTCGAATTCGACATGAAGCGGTATCAGCACGCCGGCAGGAATAGGTTCGCCGTTGAGAATCGCCGTGAAAATTGGCTTCTCCGTAGTCGTGGGAACGGAGAGGCGAGACACACTTCGTCAGCGATTACGCGCGAAGAACGCCGCGGCGATCGACGGATATTCGCGACTCCGCGATGGAATCGACAATTTTCCGCGAGATTTTCGGGGAAAACTGTGCGCGGAAACGCGTCGACGTCTTGAAGAATTTCTCGGCGGCACTCCGTTGATCCGGCGAGGGAGAGCGTCCTCGGGATTTCTTCGGAGGCCGAGTCCTCGAATTCCTGCGCGGTCGAATCGCGGACGGGGCTCTCTTTCGCGAACCGGCCTGAAAAATTGGACACGCGCACCAGGCACTCGGAGGGGCACTCGCGCGGTAATCCGCGAAGCGGAGAAGGAGAAGCGGCTCGACACGGCCACGCGAGGAGATCCTTCAGGATCTGTGCGGCGATTTCGGCGGACTCCACAGCCCGTGGCACCGTGCGTCCGCCGCTGCAGGGAGTCTGCGTGCTTACAGGTGTCCGTTGGAGCAGTCCCGCAGGATTTGCCAGCCGACGGTGGTGGTGGAGTCCTCCTACTACTTCACTTCCTCCTACTTCGCCTCCTACTTGGCCTCCTCCTGCCTCGATGAACGAGGAGCCACGCTGATCGACACGGGGATGCCGGTCGCCGTCGCGAGCGAAGAAGAAGAGGAGCGATCGTTGCCGTTAACCCTCTCGCTCCCAGAACCGAGAATCTATGTCGCTCGAAAGAATTGGGGAATCGCTTCTTCAAAACGCCCCCTCGTCTAACAAGTATTCGAAGCCTGAATTTTAAAAGATGGAAATTTGCCAACATTCCTCTCGCGACATAACTAATCTTGACCGTTAGCGAATCTCACGCAAATACGATACTTGATAAACTATCAGGAATATCAGGAACTAAAGTCTGTAATAATAGTCATTACTTGAAGCTCGTCTCACATGAAATACTCATATTCTTATTCAGGATTAGATCCAAATTTTTCACACAGTTGAATTATATGGCCTAAATTAATAGGCGTTATTTAAAATTTGTCCTACATAAAATATTCAAATCTGAATCTAGAGTTAGGTAAAAGTTTTTTTATTTTAATTACATGATATATGTGACATTATACTTGCAGTCGTGATTCAACTAAAAAACTCATATCTGACTATAAATTCAAATCTGAGTGTCTCACTTGAGGCAAGTTTCGACTATTAATACGAACTTGTGATACATGTAACATCATATCTGTAATCGCAATTCAATTGAGAAACTCTCATATAACTCTAAACTCAAATCTGAATATCTTATTTGAATGAAATTTTATATAACGACTATTAATACAGATCATATAATTTAACTATGTGAAAAACTTGAATCTAATTCTGAAATAAAAATCTGAATTAAAATCTGAGACTCTATTAATGTAGTTTCTTGTTAATGGCCGTTATTTGAAACTTTTCTCGCGTTGAGAATTCGATCTAAATTTCAATCTCAATCTATTCTAATTCTAAATCTAATCAATTATAATTCTGAATCTAAATTCAAATTTGAATTTAGAATTGGATTCAAGTTTCTCAGTTAAATCGATTACAAATGTAATTTTGGTTGTATTGATTTAAGTACAAAACTCAAATCTAATTCTAAATTCGAATCTATTTCACTCGAGGTAAGTTTTAAGTAACGATTATATTAATATTGACATGAGTTTAAGGCCTATATTACTTAAGACTTGTCTCAAGCAAGACGCTCAGATTTGACTTTAAAGTCAGATATGAGTTTTTCATTTGAATCGTATATGTGATATTATATTTGTAATTGCGCGATTCAATTGAAAAATTCGCATCGAACTTTCAACTCAAATCTGGCTATCTCACTTGAGACAAATTTCAAATAACTATTAATATAGACCTGTTAGTAGTTATCATTTGTAATTCATCTCAAATGAGATACTCAGATTTGAATACGGAATTAGATAAGAGTTTTTTAGTTGACTCATGATTACATATAAATATCACATATATCATAAATAAAGTGAAAAAGAACTTGAACCTACTTCTGAATAAAGATCTGAGTAACTTATATGAAACAAGTATTAGATGAACAATATTCTAAACAAACACGTGCTTAGAGAGAATTGCTTTCGAATTTGTTGTCAAGAAATCCTGTTGCTACCAGGAAGGTGTAAGAATCACAAGGTAACTAAAATTTGACATGCAACTGTTTTTTTGTTAGTTCAAAACGTTATTCATGTGAAAGTCTCGTGTGACCTTATTGATGTGACCAAGCGGAGCCTGGCCGTTCACTCCCTTTACTTTCCGGCTAAGTAGCCGACGTGACTTATTTATTTCTCGTTCACTAATTAGTTGTCGACGCGCTACGTTTTTCTAGTGCGTTCGGTTCTATCGAAAATTATACACCTCGCGTAACGAGAAATATCCTAAAAGAAAAGGATGGAAAAAAGAGATAAAGAGAGAGAGAGAGAGAGAGAGAGAGAAAGAGAGAGAAAGAGCGAGACCACCTTCGCAGGAATGACTTTAACGAGCAGGCGGTATCTTTGTGATCATTTGTTTTACTACAGGGCGGAGCCAAAACAATTTATCCCTGCCTTCACCATTTAAAGATTGGTGCCATCTCGCTTGATCGAGTTCGAACGAGTATCGACCTCGAGTCCCTCTGCGTAAAGCGAGAATCCTTCTATTAAATCTCTCTTTCTCTGCTCCATTCAACTTGATTATACTTCACTCCGAGACGTAATTTCCTCGATACAGCCTTTTCAAGCTCCAAACATTCCTCTACTGAATTTCATTCACACGAAAATTACAGTAGTCGTTTCATGTGAAACCCGACTCAGCAGTTCTTTGTCTTAAAGTTAGACTCGCCGCGTGGTTTCTCGACTTGTATTCCGGGTACATTAATTGAACGACTCATTTTATAACTATAACTCACGGCTCGTTATGAATACATAAGAATCGATAATCCGGTGCGCTTATTCCGTTCTGTTCCACGAGGTACGAGTTTCCGTTCCTAATGCGCACGCCTATTATCCCGCGCCGACAAATCATCCGGCGCAATTAGCGAAAGCAAATTTCGTGTTGTACACTTCAATTAAAAGAAGTCGCGGACCCCTTGCCCCGCGCTAATTATCGTGCCAATTTTGTCCACGATGCCGATCGTCCGTCTTCCCTCCCGCTCTCCTTGGCCGCGCGTCGGCCCTTCCGTTGCTCCGCTGCCGTCGATAAATAATCCTCCGTCAGACGTTCATTACGTCGTTAAGTTTCGGCTCGGACTTATCCACCCTCTGGCCCTCGCACACGGTATCCGACGAGCGGCTTCGCCCGCAGCGGTAACCCTGAAAATGCCGTGCGCCGCGTAAAAAAGATCGGTTCGCGGGTACTTCGGTAATGGGTATCAGCCTCCAATAAAGAATATCAACGTTAGCGCGACTGAATAATGTAAAGTGGCCTTATTACTTCGATCGATAAAGTAAAAGAAGTATGTGTACCTCTATGTGTGTGTGTGTGTGTGTGTGGAACTTTTTAGTAAAGAAGACAAGATCAAAAAAAAGTTAAGTGACACAAAAGTACTAATTATAAGACACGTATCTATCCTAGACGTTCTTAACTGTTTTGGCCTTTAAATATTTCAATTTTCAATTTAAAAATGTTTAAGAACATAGAATATATATACATATATATGTTTCATGCACGGAAAAAAAGATTTGGTTGAATTAACCGATATTTGGTCGAATCTGAACGACCCAGAAATTCCGGTTGAAATAATTCGAATTCTGTTTAAGTTAACCAAAGTCTTGTTAACTTAAACAGAATTCGGGTTACTTCAATCGGAATTTCTGGATCGTTCATATTCGACCAGATATTTGGTTAATTCAACCAAACCTTTCTTTCCGTGTGCTGAAAGTTTATTTCTATATTTGAAGACCAAAACAATAAGACAAAACCAAAAAGTGGTACAAGGTAAAAATACCAATTCAAGGACACGTATCCAATCTTGAACATTTTTATTATTTCAATCTCCAAATACAAATATTTAAATTTTCAACATGGAATATGTGTATATACATATTTTATGCTGAGTTTATTTTTATATTTGAAAAATAAAATAATAAGGTTAAACTAAAAAGTAGCATAAGGTAAAAGTACCAATAACCGGACACATATCTAATTCTGCTTAAATATTCTTTTTGTTTGGTTTTAACTACGAATGTTTAAGCTTTCAACATAAAAAAAAATATGCACATATTGTATATATACATATATATTCTATATTAAAAGTTTAAATATTTCTATTTAAGGACTAAAATTACAAGAAAGTCCAAAATAAGCTGCGTGTCCGGAAAAATTGATAATTTTACATAGAATTGGTAATTTTACCTCAATAAAAAATCATATTATAGTAATATTTAATTATCATATTATAATAATCATATTAAAATCATATTATAGTAATACTTAATTATAAAAATAACGCATATTATATTTTATTTGTAGTTAAGTATGACACCACCGATTTAATACCGTTGCGAATATCTCTCCGGCTACTCTAACGTGTAAAATCGAATAATGAGCACCGAGAGACGCGTGACCGAGCCGCGTTTGGTAGGAATAACTGAAAAATCCAAAGGCAGGTGTTGGCGCGCTTTCGCAAGCCTCGGAAACGTGCAGTGCGCAAATGCACCGAGCAATTATTCTCGGCGATATTGCAAAAGTATTCCGAGAAACGGCGGATTTCTCGCCGCGGGCTAACAACGCGCGCCAATGTGCGCGAGAATACCGCAATAGTCGCGCGCGGAACAAAAGTAAGAATATCTTTGTTTATACGTTACCGGTGCGGCAACGAATGGCAGCATTACTTTAACTAACACTCGCGCTTTGCGCAATACGTTTATACCTCATTAATTTAAGAACCGTGGACGAGTGAACGCAACGCGCGCCCGGATCCGCAAGAATCTCGCGTTATACGCGCCGTAAATTTCACGCCGCTGTTTACCGTTATTAATATTATTTGTCCAATTATCCTCTCGCGATATCGAATAACCTCTCTCTGTCACTTTCTTTCACTCTCTCACTCCCTCTCTCTCTGTGTTTTTTCCGATTTTACTTCTACAAACTGCATCCCCCTGCGGGCGAGACTGTTCCGTTTCTCAGTAGGAATATCGAGTGCATTTATCGGAGCTAATTTGGTACGAGAAAAGTCGGTGTGTATTTGTTTTTTTTTTTTGATATCAGTCTTTTCATGTTAAAATAGAAAGAGATTCATACTGATCTTTCGATAAATTCGCGCGATTAGTAGCTGACTTTGCGGATGTTCGCATTTTTCATAGTCAAAATAGTTCATAAGAACGCGCACTCGAATGTATAACGCGTTGTATACTTCTACAGTTGGTCGTTTTAAAATTCCAAATGAAACTATATAGTGGACGTCGCGAAAACGCAAAGAAGACAAACAACTTGAATTTTTTCTAATAAAACCACGCGCAATCCCGGTAAAAACGGTCAGACACGCACGCGATCAGACTGGTACATAATGAGTTAATAAGGACGAAGGATCCTGGCGCGGCGTCGGTACCAGAAATAAACGGGTTAGAAGCGCTTTATTGGCGGAAAAGTTCGCCGTACAAGGAAGACCGAGAGAGAGAGCAAGCAAGAGCGAGAGGGAAAGAGAGAGGTAGAGGCTCCTTCGTTTCAGATTATTTCCCGGCATTATTCGCCGAAGAAGAAGACATCGACCATAAAAAAGAGGCAAGCAGATACGGCGACAGCTGCTTCGCTATTAAAAGCGACTTAAACTCCAAACCCCGTCCCCTGCGATCGTAGAGAGAACGAAGGTATCTCTCCAACCACTTCCACCGCTCGTCCTCCCTCCGTCACTCGCTCTCCAGTTCCCTCTTTCGCTTCTTCTTACTGCTCCTCTCGCCGTCGCTCCTTGTCGTCGAGCATCCATCCCCCTCTCGTGATTACGCACAAACAAAGCGTAAAGCCGCGTACGCGTACGCGCCGACTTCTTGCCCGCAAATAAGCGAATTGCTAAATGAGCCGTAAAGCCATGCCTCGGGGATATAAAAGAAGCGGAGGGAAGAACACGCGAGCCAGCCGTTGGCTCTAGATTAGAATTTAGAGCCTGCGTCCCGCGTCCCGCGGACCGCCGCGGTATCCCTGAGAAGCGGTAGTAAAGAACGTTTTAAAAGGGATGGCCGTTCGAAATATTAAACGCCAGATGAGAAATGGACCGTGCGCTAAGTGAAGGGTTGCGCGGACTCCAACTCTTAGGGCTATCCTCTTCCCTCCTCCTCCCCGCCTTACTTCGCCACGTGTCCCGCAATAACTCTTGCGAACGCGTAAAATTAATTAGGTGCTGTCCTCCCGGCCCGATCCTTATGCCTCGTTGAAAATTGTAAGAGATTCGGGAGGTGAGACAGAGTGTAACGCTCGATATCGGTCACGGCCTTTTGTCTCGCGCCTCCGTTAAATTTCCGTATCTTGCAGACCGCGTTTTACACGTCTACCTCGAGAAAGGAGAACAAATGGTCCGTCGATCGGTGGAGTCGTTAAAAACGAACAATGAAACGCTCGATCGTGCATAACATTTATTTTCCTTGACACAAAGTCGCCCGTCTCAGGAAATTGTGCAACATCGTTTTGACGTTGTTCTTCAGCAACAGTTGCGTCAGTTACATATCGAGTGATGGTCCTTCCTTAGGGCTTGAGCACAAAGATTGTCGCAATCGTTTCCGACAGTGTCGTAGACATAAGTCGGTGTCGGAAGTCAACGCACTAGGATTGATGTAGACGTATGCTACATCAGTTGTGTCGTCTAATCATATTTGATACAGCATGTGTCTACGTCAATCCTTGTGCGTTGACTTCCGACACCGACTTAAACTCGTCGTAAACGATTGCGACAATCTTTGTGCTCAGGCCTTAGTCGTCCACTATTTTATTTGGGTGAGGGTAACTTTTACACATAAACAGTCGACAAATAGAAATGGAATGGGAGCTCACGCGGACGGGCTAGCCGGAGGCTCGCGACTGCAAATTCGCGTTCACCGACGTTGCAAAATTGTCTATTTGCATGGGACACGATTAATTAATACGATCTCGGCTATTAAATAGATATCAACCTTCTCCGGGCGACGACCGCGTTCCGTATCTGCATAATCTCTATACAATAACCTCGGCGAAAAGAAGAGTTTTGTCCCTCCAACGATAAAGTTTTTGCCACCCTTTATCCGCCCCCTACGGGACTCGACACTAGCCATTCTGCTAATAAAGAGACGGGTCTTGCGTCGTTTGTCGCGCTTCTATCACACGAGGATGAAGATTGGAAACGATCTTCGCGGAATTCGTAATGTCGAAATCGGAACTAAACGAAATTACATCAGTTTCGATTTTCGAACTCGATTATTCGGATGACAGAATATTCGGAGAGCGAATTATTGAGTCAAAATGTTGGTTCTACATTATCAATGAAGAATCTTAAAGTTATTTCAATCTTTTACCTATATTTGATCTTTATCTTTAATTTCAGCAATGTATTATAATGATTACCTAACTTACTCAGATGCAAATAGAGATTGAGATAAACAATGTGAGATAAACGGATATTATATCCTAAAAAGATGATTTTATATATAGAATGTCCCAGACTCTCCTCTACAATTCAAAGAGTTAATAACAAAAAAAGCTGTGAAAATAAAAATAACAATTGGATATATCAAACATCAATAATGACGTTTACCAACATAAATTTAAATTTAGATTTCATACATTACTAAAGTTCAATAGAAATAAAAGTAACGCAATAAGAGCGATAAATAACGTATCAATACACGAAGTCTGTAGTATATTTTTTGTCGACTTGAATCATAATAAACACTCAAAAAAATATATGACACAAAGATATATATGACGAAGATGTATATGTTTTGATTATTATGATTACACAATATTCAACGATGACAACAGTTAGCGCTTGATAAAAGATAGTAAGCTTGTTATCGCCGGTTGGTTTCGTAATTTCATGCGTCATATACGTTTTTGTAATCAAGCATTACATTTACATTACATTTTACGCAAAATATAATTTCGCTGACCTTTGAAATACTTAATCGAACTCTCAGCGACATCATGTTAATTGACATGTGATTTTTTTCCGATCAATTCGTATCTACGAATATATACTTATAGAGATAATATATATGTATTATATATTTATATATTTATAGAGATCGATCAAAGAGTTTAAGAGAACAGACACAGGAAGACATTCTATTTTATACATAAATTTTACATATATATATAGATTTGTGATTATCATATAAACATATTCTATCTGCATCTAAAATTGGGACCAATATTTCAACTCGAGTTTTTCGAGACTTTTTACTATCACATTTGCACAGCGTAAACACGTTTACTTACATGCTTATATTCTCGGGATATAATCGGCACTCTACTGCTTCGTCATTACGCAACTTGGCAAAATACACTTCGCCGGCAGATCTCCCTCCGGTAGCCACGGCATCCAAGTGTCATTAAAATTGTGTGGGAAGCCGGTAGGATCGACGGGCATGTTCGTCTGCTTCATCATGACCAATTTATAGCTGTCGATGAACGTACTCAATCTCTTCACGACCTGCAAATTTAACGACATTCGCTTAAAGCACCTTCACCATCATTTCCATTCCGTTTATGTCGTATGAGAGACGACGTTCACGCAACAGCTCGTACATGTCACTTTTTCTCTCGTCTTACTCCCTTTTCGCAAAGTACTCGTATACAGGGTGTCCCGTAACTCACAGAGGAGCTGCGGTAGATTAGATTAAACTGAACAAAAAATTCCTCTTTTGCGAACAATCACGTAAAATTTTGAATTATGAATCCAAAAAGATTCATCAATAATTATACGTCATACAGTAGATGAACTGTGTTGGCGACGTATGCCGCTGTATGCTTGTATATTAAATCAAACTGAACAAAAAAGTCTTCTCTCTATCATTTTCCAAATAGCTATTAGTAGATATTTAATTACTAATTAAAAAAGATTGATGCATTAACGCGCAAAAGTGTGTACCAAACTTTTTTAATTAATAACTAAACATGTACGCGGTCATTTGGAAAATAATGAAGGACTTTTTTATTCAGTTTGATTTAATTTACAAGCATACAGCGGCATACGTCGCCATCACAGTTTATCTACCGTATGACATGTAATCATTCACGAATTTTCTTTGATTAATAACTTAGAATTTTACATGATTGTTTGCAAAATGATAGAGAAATTTTTTCAATTTGACCTAATCCTGTACACTGCGACTCCTCTATGAATTACCGGACACTCTGTATAAAATGTATCGTTAAAACGGAAACTTTTCTTCAGTATCGTAGAATATATATATTTAAAGGAACAGCATTTTTAATTGTTTCGTGATTGCCACATCGATAATAACATTTATTGTAAGAATTGTAGTTAACTTTTAAAGAAAAAATTTCAGTGTTGCAACAATCATAAAGCACTAACGCGCAACGCTTCGTTTTTAATCGGCACTGTAATTCCTCGCTAAATTGAGCTCGATCGACTTTACCGATGTTTCCTTTCACAAGTCCTCAGGATCTCGCTGATGGCGCCAGTTTCTGCACACTCCGACTTCTGTACTCGACAGATACTTCAGACAAATCATTCACGCGGTATAAATGTTCGATTCCCTTTGTATTCAAAACTTTTCTTTTCCCTCACTATTCTTCTTTTCCTTTAGCATCGAATTAATTTTTATAATAGTTAATATTATATGTTATGTTCTTTTCTCTTTCTACTTATTATAGATTATATTGTGTATACGTATTGCTATTATATTGTTTTCTTTTTTATCTCATCGCGAGTGTTGTACTTTAAATGAAAGGCCCTCACCTCGGGATACTTCGATGACAGGTCTGTAATTTCGCAAGGATCCTCGTAGATGTCGAACAGACAAGTGCGATTCATGCAATTCGAGAACTTGTCATTCTGGCAAATCACCATGCCTTCTTTTCGCAACTGCTTGAGTTTATCAGCGTTTAACTTCGGCGAAATACTGGCGATAGCGGATGCGGCCGGTGACGTTAATACTTGCGTCTCATTGTACTTGGGATACGACGGGTCGTTACCGGTGTAGCCATAATACTCGGAAAATATAGACCTGTCTGTCAAGACAAAATAAGAAACTTACAGTGTGCTTCTCGCGTTCACATGTAATGTCTGCGCGATTCGTTCCTTTAGCTCCGAACATTTTATTTAAACTCGGCACACGAGTATAAAATTCAACGAGAAAGATAAAAAATCAAATATTTTATAGAAGTAGGATATAAAAACCATATGATTATTAGCATCTCCCTCAGTCTTTAACACTTTGGAGAAACCTGATTTTTCTTGCGACCAACGGCATCAATTCATAATTTCAGTTGTGATTTCTTTTGAAATTATAGAATACCTGCAGGAATTACAGTTGGCTGCAGTGCTGATCGCACTAAAAACCAGGTTTTTCTAAAGTATCAATGATTCCGAAGAATGTCAGTAATTGTGTGACTTACCCTAACTTTTTTGTAAAACAAGCAAGCTACACGATGTGTAGGTACCTGTGACAAGTTTGTATTGTCCTACCAACGCTGCCTCGCTATCAATCTGCTCGTCGATGTTGATGAGTAAGGATTGCCGCTTGCTGTTGCCCGCGTGTTTGATCGCGGACCATTGATCGACACCATCGAGTCCTTCTAGATCACTCGGATCACCGCCGGCTGCGGAATACAGGGTCGGTAGCCAATCGCTAATGTGAATCAATTGCGTGGATATTCTCGACCTGGATTCGATCAGGGGTGAATAGATGCAGGCCGCACTTCGAACGGCGCCATCGAAAAAGCTTGACTTCAACTGAAACGTGTCATTACGAGAAGGCGATTAATTCGCTTAGAGCGCTCATTATAAAAGTAGCAATTCTTGTGCGAACTTTCGCGATATTATCACGCTGCGCTGTTTTTATACCTCACGCTGTTTTTCCACTTCTCATTTCACTTGTCAAAAGTAGCGAAAGTAGCGAAAGCGCGCGCGCCTAAGTAAGACTACTGCACTAGCGGTTGCGAGAATCTGTAATTACCCCGCGTAATGGATAATTCGATCCGTAATTCCTATGTACTTCTCCCACGGTTTGCGCACCGTTGTCGCTCAGAAAGATGATGATCGAGTTGTCCAACATTTCTGCCCGCTTCAGAGCGTCGACCACTCGACCGACCGACTCGTCCAATGTGGTGACGACACCTAAAATGTAAATCTTTTGTATCTCATATGAATTCTCGTTATCGCGATTTACGAGATAAAGTTGCTCGTGCAAACCAAGGTCCGTGGATTGGTAACAGTGTGAAGGGAAGTCTTCCTATTAGCGGTCATTTTTTAGCCATGCATTTGTGTATGTGTGTATATATTCAAGCATCTCCCGACACACATATAAAACGCATTATATGGCCGCTAAGGCCTCTAATAGGAAGACCTTCCCTTCGCACTGTTACCAATCTACGGACCTTGGTGCAAACGACATATCGAGGCAATCTATGGATAATGGGCGATCGAAGGAGCGCGACTCTACGCACTTGCATACTTTCTTCTGTTTATATCCTTGATGTAACCGAAAGTGTCGTTCGTTTCCTTCCAACTACGTACTTCCAAGAGATCTTTAGCAGTGCTTGAATGAGGCGCGAGATGCGACAATTGCAGGTACATCGGTTTCAAGGTATTATGCGACAAAATGATACTCTCCGCCTCCGCGGTGATGATGTCAGTCATGTAGTCGTAACGATACTCGATTTTATGATTGTTGCCGATCAAACGATGAATATCGTAGCCTGATTGCCCCTGCAACAATATGCGTTAGGTGCGCAATGAAATCACACAATGATTCTCTCATGATGTTTCAGCAAACACGCCTTTTATGTCATTAATAGCTCTGTCGAGCTTGATTTACGAGTGATTTTGGCTTTTTGTTTCTTTTCCTTTTTCTCTCTTCGAGGTAACCTTAAGCATTAAGAGAATTAAACTTTAAAAGATAGGGAACAAAAAAAAACAGAAAGCAAAAGAGCATTGTAAATCAAGCTTAATCAGGCTTAATTATTAGTAACATCTGCTTATTCGCTGGCCCGTCTAATAGTCGGCTGAGTCAAACTTACGCTCTCGATAAGTTTGTGAGTGAAATATTCGATGTAGCCGGAATAATAGCCGAGGAAGCTGTCGAAACCACGACGCGTGGGTATATGATTATTCGTGTGATAACCGATGTGCCATTTCCCCACAAGAGCAGTAGTGTATCCGAGCATACGAAGATACTCAGGTAGGAGAGAATTGTTTAACGGTATGCTGCGCGGTTCCGCTGCGCGTAGAGGGTAGCCCTGCATACCTACATGCCGTAAATATAATATAAAAAATGTATAAAAAAGAGACAAAGGCTTCACTGATATCCAATCAATAATGCAAGTAATAAAAGCCAAAGCACGGATATTATAGTGCTAGGATAGTTCTATATTTTAAATATGTTATCTAGTCATAAAAATCTAGGCGTTTCAACCCTATTCGTACCCTCAATAGCATAAATAGCTTGGATTGGAAAGAAAATCATTTTGTTGAACATACTTAAAATTTGTTTTATTTGGATTAGTTGACATGTTTTCCTGATTCTTTCATTTCGATTTTCTTTCCAATCTAAACGATTGATTTTTGTATTTTTGTATTTATGCTATTAAGAAGGGTCCGAATAGTCTGAAACGTTTAGACTTTTATGAATTAATGACATATATTTTTAATCTAGAACTATTATAGCACTATAATATCCGTGCTTTGGCTCTTATTGGTCTATATTGTGTCATTGAGTAAATATAATGGTAAGTTAAATGTCAGTTTATTACAATATCCACAGTAATATTTGTTAATAATGTTATATAATATATTTAGCTTACTATTGTTACTATCGTTAAATTATTGTGACCATTATTGGTTAATATAATTTGCTATTATTAACATCCTTTGAGGGTTCATGTCGCACCGCAAAATCACGTATATCGCGCAATGAATTAGTAATTCATAGAAAGTTCATTCATATTAATAATTCATATAATAGATACTGTTGAATTGATAATTTGGTTATCACCTGGAAACCAGGTCAAACAAAAGTAACGAAAATTGTAGCTCGTTACTTTTTAAAAGTAACTTTCTTTACTGTAATCCTATATCTAATGACCTGCGCTAAATATTAGGACCTTAACTTAGTTTCCGCCCGCAAATGTTAGATGGCAATACAAACAGTTCTAGTAGTCATTACTAACGAAACAGGTAGTTTGTGATTAATTTCGACATTTCTCGATAACATTCAGTCAGCATACACAATTATTTTCCTAAACAACAATTTCTTTTGCTTTGTGAAAAATGGAACGCGATAAAGTGTTTTTTCGACATGTGCTTTTGCACTATTTTGATTTGAAAAAAAGTGTAGCAGAAGTTCATCGATTACTTGAAGAAGGTTATGGTGATCGAGCTCCAT